TCGCCCGATAAAAATTTAGATGATGCTTTGCAGAAAAAAGTTGCCGATCTACGTAATAGTTTTATGTAATAAATGATTGGCTCAAAAGAAGAAAAAAGGGGTAAAATTTCCAAACGTATTCTTTGAGTGTTGTTTTATTACTTATAATTTGAACGTATTAATTAACGTTACGAAGTCAAGTAAACTTTGTAGAAACACGCCATCATCTTTGTAATAGATCTATGATTAAATAAAGAACAATCCCTAGTGAATTTCTGATTTCGTCCTTTAAGAAAGAACTTGAGAATGAATGAACAAGAAATGTCATATAGAATGTTTTCGTTGAATTTATATTCCTTGTGAGAAATATAAGAAATATATTATAAGTACAAAGAGTTACAAACTGCTTTCTTGGAAACTAACGAAAATATCGATATCTTTTTCGCTATAGTTAAAATAAACTTGTTTTAATAAACAGTGATATTAACATCTTGGATAGCCTTTACAAAACTGGATAACATTTGCTCGAACCCTTTTATAAAACGATGCATAGTTACAAAGTTCGATTCTTCCGGGGTTACATGAAAGAGTAAGTTATAGTAATCACTCCTACAACTAAAAAAAAATATGAAATTAAAAATAAATGCTGTTTGTTTATCGGTTAGTCCGACAACATCATTTTGCATGCTATAAATTAACCGGGTTTTAATATTTTCAGTTTTATTCACCTCCTTTAATTATACTTTAATAATAGTAATAATAATAATAATAATAATAATAATAATAATAATAATCAAACACCCGTTTGAAACAAATGTTGTTCAGTTTTATAAGAGGTATCCAAATAATAAACAAAATAAAACATCTTCCATTCAGAAAAATGTAGGGTGCTCCTTTTCTCCCCAAAAAGTCGATAAAAAATTTATCATTTAACTGTAGCAAAAATGAAGTCGATATTTTCATTAGTTTCTGAGAAAACTGTTAGTAACACTTTATACGGAACACCCTGAAAGAAAAAGTATGCGTGGTTTATAAATCAGTCCACATGAAATTTAGTTAATAAATTCTGGAGTAAAACAGAAATATGCATATCGAGATTCTCGATTGCAGCTATCGTTCACGAGGCCGAGAGTACTTCGATTAAAGCACGAAATTTTGCCTGTGCCTGAGAGGAGTACTTGGACCGCTAAGGGTTAAGTAATATTCGTGAAAAAAGAAGACAGAAATGATATGCTCTCCTCAAAAATAAATCTATATAATATTCGTATGTATATATAATCGGGCATCGGAAGGACTACTTACTATTTAGCGGAGTCTGTGAGTTGATATTCTCGCCTGCGATCGTAACACTCCTGGATGCCAGCATCTGCCCATAAATCCTTGATTGCCTCTACATATGGACTTTCAAACGTTGTAACCGTTTCGAAATCCACGACACGTACGAGCTCTGCTTTTTCCTACGGTAAAGTGCGAACGTTGCATTCGAGTACCATAATTAACGGTCGCAAAAAGGGAGCCATGGTCACCGATAAAAATACTTACCACACTCGACGAGTCGCCGTACTCGATCTTGAGAAGGTCCATCGCTCGAATCATGGACTGCATAGCCATGAAAATGTTTTGGTACACGAGTTTAATGAACCCCCTCTTGTCATCGTCGGAGTAGCCGGATCCGTGGATAATTCTCATCTGTTTGATAAAGGTGGATTTGCCGGATTCACCAGTACCTGTAACAACGTTTCCGTCTCATTACCGTTGTCCCTATATAGCGAAACGAACCGGTGTTTCTGGGTCGCTTGCCCACCGATTTGTCTTAACTTTTTGATTAATGTATTCACGAGTTCAGTTTATGCACGGCATTCAGCGGTAACGAAAGGATTCTATTGCGCCAACTGTCTATTATTACTGACCGCCTCGCGACTTGCTCGGAAGTGCAACTGTGTCAAGAATATCGGTACTTGCAACGGAAATTCGGATGTTTACGAAAATAACCATATTTTCGATTCTATTATTTCGATTCGAGCACGCTTAAGAGGGCGGTCTGGTTCGGACGACTAAAAAATAGCCGATTTTATAGAATTCTTTCTGTTGAAATGGTAAGGAATATTGAAACGAGGCCTTTTCCATAACATTAAGTAATGCTAAGACTACTCATTTGTATTTTTCTCATGGACAAGTGTTTTAGAATAAATATTGAAACGTTGGTCTCAACGATGCGCAGTTTCAGCGACGGAGTACTTTTTAACAAAAGCTTTTGTAATTCCGTAAATTTTTCGAAAATCCTTTCGCGGAATATTTGTAAATACTGTAAAGATTCTAAAAATAGAATTCTTTAAAAATCGATTTTGCATATGTTTGAACTGAGGTTATAAATAATTGAATGTAGAGGCACAGAATTAATTTCTACATCTAATGACATCAATTTTTTTTACAAAAAATTAATAAAGAAGGGTAATTTTTCGAATCTCTTGAATCCTATTACCTCCTTACTAATTTTCCTTACGCTACCAATAACTTTTACTTGTAAAGTCACCGTTTCAGAAGTAATTATACCGAAAACGTCGCAAAATAAAACGATAAGCTTTCGCTCTCAGCCCACCCAAACTATTATTTTTATTCAAAACTTCCCATCGAGAGCTACAAAAAAAAAAAAGAAACTAAACTTCTTAAATATCATCAAAATCTCTAACCAGCGTTTCTATCGATGCAAAGTATCGACTCGAAGATTCACAATCCAATACGTTAACGTTATGTCTTCAATCGAGAGAAGCAAACGATTGCAACCTTGCGCATAAATGCAAATAATATTCAGCGAGTAAAGGCATAAACTCGACTGCGTATTACCATCGATATCTTGATTTTCCAAATCAAAACAAGTAAAAAATGAGACATTGAACCAAGCTTTTTCTACATTCGAACCGATCCAATGACAGGTAACGTGTTGCGTTATCGCTTGCCGATACAATACGTTCCGACTATCTACAAACGTTACGAGTTATTAATTGCTGCGTAAGTCGTTCGCCGGGTCGCATATTAATATTTGCATTTGCATGATCCGTGTCGCTTTGCAGCGAGTTTCTCCGCGAACACGTGGACTAAGACCGACTATCTATGGACAAGCGAAAGAATTGTCTTGGTGCAAAGGCATGCCTAGAAACTCATCGACGGGGTACAACTAAAGATTAACAGAGACGATGACACCGCGATACTTTATAAAACTGTATGAAGATAAGACAGAGAAAAAGTTTATCTATGTGCAATCGATGGAAGCTTGCTATTAGGTTGTCCAGAAAATTCCTGCCAATTTCTAAGAAAAACTCAAAGGCATATAACATATATATACATGTATTTATTGAATTACATAGGTGCCATTTTGTTCCACAACCTTTCCATGTTTTAAGGGACGTATGTTATTTGTTTTCAACCATTTCGATATATTCAGACCTGTACCATCTACCAAAAATCGACATGGACTTTCCAGACAACCCAGTAGTATACGTGTACAGGTTGTCACGTATAAATTAGTGTTAAAAAACTGTTTTCTTAGAAACTAACGAAATTATCGACTTCATTCTTGTTACAGGCCAACGATAGAGGGAAGCTGATATTTTATAGTGTGCAATACATTTTTTGAAGCGAAGGTTACGAGGAAAAAGAGACCTCCTACATTTTTTTTAAAGAGAGGTGCTAAAACACGTCTTAAGGAGGAAACGTCTAAATTCGTTTCGTGAATATTGTTGCACGCTTAAGATGTGTTGTTATTAGGTGTGGGAAAAAGCTTTAACCTGTGGATTTCATAGAACTGAAATTATTGTAGGAGTCTCTACCAAAAATAAGGCACGGAGCCACGATTAGAATCCACGATCTTCGGATCCACTCTATTCGCGTTCTTGTTTGACTCCTTAGTCTTGGCTATGGGGGGCGCGAACCTACACTATTATTACATTTTATTTAATTTCATCGACCTTTTATAGTTATAAAGCGTCGACATTTGGCTGTTTAGAACGTTACGCAGTTTGGCAACAGGTAAATGCAACCGCTCTCAGGTGCTAGTCGTATCGTACATCCCTAACTTCAATAAGAAACGAAATATCACAAAAACCAGTCGACCTAAAATTCACTTTGTTTCTAGGTCTTATACTACCAATTTAAAAATAACAGTAATTCAATTCAGTTAATTCCAAGTCACAGAAAAACAGCAAGACAGTTCACAGCTAGTCTCCAGGCAGCAAGTCTACATAAAGCATTGCGTTAACACTTTATCCACCGGGCTATCTAGAAGCAGACTTTAATTCAAAAAAGAATTTTCTACAGTAGCATATGCCAATCTAGGCTGACAATAATTCCACCATACTGTTACTGGGTACATTGAAAGCCAAGTCTGTTACCAAGCACTGAACATTGTAAGGTCTATTTACACTATCAACATAGTAAATAAATTCAAATAACTAAATACTGCAATTAAAAAGCCTATAAATAGGCTCCTGGTAAATAAAGTGTTAACTTGCGTCGTACTATTTAACCTCGTTTACAATAAATATATTTAGAATAAGAAAAGAAAAAAAAACATTTTTGTTATCGCCACCGTGACAAGATCCTAGCGAACACGTCCGGAACTTTGTCGTGGATCATGAGTCGAAAGCAGTTGGACTATGATTCGCCGGTAGAAGAATTAGGACGAGCGTCTTGTCGAACGGAGTCACGTGCACGTATCTAATTGTATGTTTGTAGTTTTATAGGGCTTGCTCGTTCTCCGTGCAAAGAACGATGACAACACACTTGCGCACCGGTACACGTCCCTGAACATGGTGGGGCGGCAACACTGGCGACGATACGGGGCAAAGAGTGGCGTGGCTTAACGGTAGCAGTGACGGTGGCGACACGGCAAACGAGGATGCGCACGGATGACACAGGAAGAGAGAGAGAGAGAGAGAGAGGAGGGGTTGGAGGGGAGCGCGCAAGCGTATACGGCGCCAGCATCGCCCTCGCGAAATCATGAATGAAAACGGGCGAGTGGCCAACATTGCTGCGTGCTATCTTACCGCCGCGTATGGATCTCCTCTCGTCTTCCTTTCGAATGCACACGAGCTTCTACTCTGCTTTCGTGCTCTCTTTTGTATGGCTGGCAGCAGCGGCGAAAGCCTTTTGTGTTGCCCGCCGAGAAAAGACGAATCGCTCTTACCAACACCGGCCTTCTTCAACGGCGCGTTACCGTCGCGCATAAGAAAGCCTGGTTTGTACATACAACGGTGTGAATAATAGATCTCCCGACGTTTTAAGAGGTTTATTTAAGCAACGATCTCCCCCTGGCTGTGTCATTTTACGAATCTATTAGGGCTACCCATAAGTAACGCTGTTTTTATTTCTTCTAATTTTAAACCATCTGCACTCGGAGCCATTTCGCTACAGAATGTGCAAACAGAAATCATGTCGTATTACGTAATGTAACTTGTAAAGCATGTAATTTACTGTAATGATACTCGAGCTTATATGAATCTTTAGACATTGAGATCTGAAGATATTTATGTCAAAAATCAAAATTTTATACCATTCTGATATGTGATAATGTGTGAAACAGTCATAGGTATTCATTGATAGTTTCCATCTATTAAGTTACACTCTTAGGCTTTGTTTATCTTCGTAAATTGCACCATGTCATACAAAATATGTTCCCACATCTTACTTTCGTAGACAAATGCTCTTTGTCGTTTTTTTAAAGTGTAGATTATTCACACATTCTTTTTCCATAAATATATTTTTATTTGATTTTTCGTGATATTTGAATAGAAATTTTCAAGGGATCATAGACTTTTACAAATTTTACGCTCCCATAAGTTTATCCCGTGCAATTACCAATAAAGTTTGCCTGAACTTACGATGTCCTCTCAGAAGAGACATCCGAGTGCAAAGGGTTAAAAACATTGGCTTGATAGCAGAGAAAGAAAAGTAGGAGAATAGAAGAGGAAAGGGAAAACATTTTATAGATATGGGGTTAAGCACATCGGCTTACTCGTGAATGAAATCAAATCAAAAAGGTTATTTAAATCAGTAACCAATTAGAACAAACAAAATAAAATATAGCGTAGATAATAAACTTTACTTCGTAAACGACGGTCAGTCGTGTCCAGGTGACTTTGAAAAGTAGAGATACTTCATAAACTGATTGAGAAGAACCCTCTGAAATTTAAAGTTATTTTTAAAATATTTCATTCTAAACTCAATTTGGAAGGTATGAAGAGTATAATGAATTTTTTCAGATTTTTAGAAAGACATTTACACAAAGAAAAACGCGTCTGGAGTAAGAGATAAATAAGTATACACGAACAAGCTTAAAAAACACAAGGTAACTATAACAAATATAACAATACAATTACTTCTATACGTTAGATTTAAGAAATTATAAAAGATATTGTTACAAACCGAAGCCTAAATTGTTAAAGAAACTTGACAGTACACCAAACTGTGATAGAAATATACAAACAAATTTAATACTCATTTGCAAGTGCAATAGTACTTATAGTGCATGTAAACTAAGCATTTGATGAATAAATGAAAGAAAATGAAAATAAAAACATCGTCATCTATCGACAATTATTTAGTCGAACCTCAAGGACAAAAACTGTGATAGACATATACAAACAAATTTAATAATAGAAAATTTGACATATCAAGCTTTGTGCAAGGATTAATATTTTTCTAATTATAAAGATTCGACAAACAAAGAGATATTGTATATGTATGTACCTATACATGCGTCAAATTTAAATATATTATACGAAGATTGTTTTATAAGCAAACGAATAGCATTTTGATAGTAACAAATTTCAATCTCCAAATTGATGCATCATAAGCAACGTCTGTCAATAACCTAATACGGCCCACTGTTGTCGATTGTAAATTCTTCCTAATTATTCCATAAACTGTTGGGAATGGTAGAAAACTGAAATAACATAATTTTGTCAACGAAGCGTAGCAAATAGGATATATTTCATCGTATCATTTGTTGATAAAGGAATCGGATACTCTTCCGCAAACGACTCGTTATTAATAAAATACGCAGAAATTAAGCGTGGGCTAACATTACTCAGAAAATGCTATCTTAATGAATAGACCGTTAGTCATAGGGATGTTTAATGCTAGATGCTGACGAATATTTGGTATACGACGCGATGCGATCGATTTCGACGTACATTATTCGTTATTCCTCGAATTTTAATTGTTTCCGATAAGATCAGAGATTAGCGGATCCAATTTTCTTGACTAATCAACTCGACTAAACACCGATTTCGATAGAACCTCGTGAACTCATCATAGAGAACTGAAAAATATTTGTTCAGCCGTTTGCTTCGATACTTGATGATTTACGAGATGTATCGAGTAACAAGCAACATTGTTAGACCAAGTAAAGCTGCGACTCAACGGGAACAGTCGAAGCTTTTCATGCTATCCGGCTTTCAATTCTTATCGTGCTGAAATTCGTCGTTCCTTAAACTCCTTTAATCCTTTAGATAAGTATGATTGCAAAATATTTACAAAAACAGGCAATGAAAAGATGTAACATTCACACCTCTTTCCACCAAACATAAAACAATTATAAATGTCTTCGTTGTATAATGTCACGCATACAATCTCCCAGATATTAATTCTAATTGTATTTACAGCGTACTTTAGAAATTTTATTCCAATAACAGATGACGAATGAGAACACAGTACACTTGCTATTTAATTAGCAATATCTATTGCAATGAATGGTAACAGAAAAATTTGTACTAGTTCTTTCGACGTGAAATATAATTTAATTTTATAATTCAAACATTAATGTTTTCTTAAGGAATAACAGACAAAGAGTAGTGTATCCTTTGATATTCGTAGCCAGAGAAGAATGTTGTCAGTTTGGACCGAAGATCGAACGTTCGTAAAAAAATTTAATCTGTCCAATGTACACGCGTTGACTTTGCGTTCGATGAATGTCGATGAATTGCTATCGCCGTGGCTGCCAGTACACAGTACCACGGTAAATTGCTATTAAAGACGGAGCTGCGCGGGCCTCGAGCCTGGTTTAAAAATAAAAGACACATCATGGAAGGACGAGAGGAAGAAAGACAGCGAGAATGCATCGAGTGACTCACGCTGACAAGATATGCGAAAGGAAGTTCGCTCGACCTTCTAGGCTTCTAATAAATTCCCAAACCAGATTCTCAAAATATAAATGTTACTCTGGACTGGAGGGAGGGCGGGGGGCAGCACATGCTAGAAATCGACCGTCAAGCTTACTCGAGTGGAATGTCTGTTCGTTAGAAATCCATATATTAGTTACAAAAATTATTTGTAGCTCCAGTTTAAACAGATACAGTGGGTGTAGAATGTATTCGTACACCAATCAATTTCCTCCAAAAATTTGGCGGGTAATTGTAGTTTCTTAACTTTTTTTTTTTATAATCAATGATATTTTACGTATTCTCGAAAGTCTCTAAGATAGATATAGTCCAAGCAACATTTACTAGTTAATATAATTCGTGAAATTAACAAAAAAAAAATGCGAAAAGTGGGTAAAAATATAGAAGCAATACATTTACAGTAGAGTTTGTAAAGTAAACACATTAGTTTATTGCTCCATACGAATTAGAAAACATCAAATTTCCAGTAAAGTACTTTTAAAAAAGGTTCTAATAGAGGAATGGAAAAAGATCCCACTTCGAATAACTAATAATTTAGTTAATTTAATGCTTAGAAAAGTTACAATAATTATAAAATCAGAAAGAAATCCTACGAAGGAAGTATTATATACTTCTAAATTAATGTAAATTTCTTGTTTTTTAATGAAGTTTTAATACTTAAACAGTTGTGCGAATATTTATTGCTTCGACATTTCTATCGATTAATTGTTTTATTCTTGTTAATTTCGCAACTTACATAAAAAGCTATTTTTTTTTTGTAATCTATCTATTCTAGAGATTTCCGAGAATATCTAGAATGTCATTGTTTATAAAAAATAAGTTAATAAATTACAATTTTACATAGTTTTTTTGAAAATTGATCGGTGTATGAGTACTTTCTACACCCACTGTATATTTACTCGTCGTTTTGGTATATTAAACTGGAACCTTCTAAATCCTTAAACCGATTCTATTAGAATGGATCTGTATGCATAAGTCTCAACCTGGTGGTCATTGCAATGAATCTGTACGAACTTTAGTAATCATCAAATTTTCCTTATTGCTATTTTTCTACCGTTACTGTAATTATCACTTGTAATTTGTTATAATAATAATAATAATAATAATAATAATAATAATAATAATAATAATACGCAAAAATGTATGACTACCAATTTTCGTATGTACATATACATACGTTGTAATGGTCATCAGGTTACGATTTAGGTTATATACTACATGTATAGATTCAGTGTAATGGAGACTAGGTCGAGAATCTAGATGGTTGGTAATCTACACATATATTGAACATATAAATGATGATTAAATATTTCTACGTAAACTAAAGTTATAAATGATTGACTATAAAGTGACAGACTTAATTTCTACATCTAATATTAGGTGGACTCATAAGTCACTTCCGCTTTTTTATCAAGCATTTATTTTGTTTTCATTAAATAAGAAAATTATATTAATTTATTAATCACTATTATGCATGAACTTCTGCCATCTTCCTGAAAGTTTATCAATTCCTTCCTTGCTCAAATGTGATCGACGATTTTATTTTATTTTATTTAACGCGGATATCTGTCATAACGTCTTTCGTTTACGCTCCATAATTGCGCAACATGCGAACGAGGTTTATATTCCATTATTGAAATGTAAGTCTCACTTGTCTGAACTTTCTATTAAACTTGTTTGTCTCATCATATCCCTTTACTTGATTTGCTTATTCAATTTGCCCGGTTTGCTACACTTGCCTTTTCTGATCGTTTTCAATTTGTCACATCCACTCGAATAAAATAGTCGGTGTAATTCGTTTCTCCTTAGAGCGGTCTTTTTCAAAGTAGGAGAGGGAGGGAGGGAGGGAGGGGGGAGGAGAATTGATTGCTTTCCAGTTCAAACGAGGCGAAAGAAAATTTCGAACCCCACTCTGAAAGGTATCTTTAATAAGAATTATTAAAAAAAAAGGCAATTTTTTTCGTGCTATTTCTCAAAGTTAAAAATCGTCTACTAACAAAATTTATAAATACTTGCAACTGAAATTTTATTCGTTTACATTGTTACTTCGATTTACGTTACCATGAATAAAACTTGAACTGATTTATGGCGACCTTCGTGTTATATTATTTAAAATGTCTTGTAAACTATATAAATACTCGTATCAGTATTCTTGACGAGGGTGTATGTATTATTGCTAACAAAAATCTGATACTTCAATTTTCGTGATTTTTTTGTTCCGTTTCACATTATTTGCAATACATAGTGTAGAGATAATTTATTTATCGATACAAGCATTCTCCTACTACTTAACTCGGCTCTATTATTCAAAAGTACTTGAAGTTTGACTAGTGAAACATTCTTAATTAAACTAAATGCAAAAGAAATCAGTGTCTACACATTTTAGACACGAGAATCCCTTTTTCCCCTGTGACTTAGATCATTCTTCAAGTAGTTCCTTACAATTTAATGACACGAATCTGTATAATTTCATTTCGATAATTTAATCGTAAAGTTTAAAGTAAAGTCGAAAATAAATTTGACGTTACATAGCGATAGTGAGACGGAATACAAGTGCAGTGTACAAAAGTAAATATACTACTTTCGTATAAATGTACTATATTCGTTATCAAATTTCATGTGAGCATTTTATAACGGTATAAGAGTCTCTAAATAGATACACCAATTTTTCTAAACATATATTGAAATTACCTAAAAAGAATTACACACAATTATTTAAATAATTTTTCATAATTTCATGTAAATAATTGTATACAATTTTATTCGAATAACGCAAAACGTGATGTTTGAAGTGAAGTTGTAAATAAACGTGACTCCGTATAGCGTTAATGGCGACGACAGAATATCTGCGCATAATTTGTCATAAATTTCTGTTAAAAAAGATTGCGGTAAAAAAAGATAGATATATTGCTTTATTCTTTAGATAAAGTTAAAGGATATATTCGTTACGATTGCCCATATCGAATTTAATAAAGCTACGCCCCATGAGTTTGTAAATAGGTAAAGCTATTTTTGTAAACATATATTGACGCGCTGAAACGAAATTCTGTCGGCTACATGCGACAGTCAGGCGACACCGGCGCCAGATAGAAATCTGTTAACACTTTGACAGCCGCTGTCGCATACGCGTGATTTTACTCTTTCGACCTCGATATCATCGTCCACTCAACTTATCTCACGTTTGCCTAGGTTTAGGTCATATGTCATATATTCATTATGACATGTAGGTCTATATAGTCCTACAATAATATCGTACTTTCACATGCTCCACGGTAATCCTCGAGTTCAAGTGTCAAAAATCGGAATATCCAGTACACTTCAAAGCGGGATAGCCACATCGGAAGTCGGTCTCATTTCTCTCGAGAAAATTTACCAACTCGTCGGTAGCGATGGTTGTAGGATCACGAAAATGTAACGAAAAGTGTACGAATTTTACTTTTCCATT